TTTAAGCCAGAGTTTTTCTCAAGGCAAGGGCCTTGTTTGTGTGCTCTGTTTTGATTCATGTAATTGAAAACATACTTCTGGATTTGTTGTGTGGAACGTTTTGTCTGAACAGGTCCGTTGCAGTCACCGGGTACATGTACTATTGTCTTTAGTAGATTTCCGGAAGAGTGTTGAACAGTGTGAGAATCTAGAGAGCGCCCGGAGTGAGTGGACAGGTGTCAAGCGTGGAGTGTTGACAGTTTCCAACGTCCGGAAGAAGCCTGGAGGGGAGGGAAGACGCACTGCAGCAGCGGCTGGTAGTCTTAAGGACACGGGGCATAGTGTGTACACCAAAATCTTGGATAGTTGCCGGTTGCTTCCTGACGATATGACAAAAGCCAAATTACTAACTGCGAACCAGTCTGGAAGAGTGATGACATAGTTAGGATACTGGGTAGCAGGAATGCAATGTCGTTGTAGTGAGAATTCCGTCCTTGTAACCGATGTTGAGTAGTCATCCGGATCGGATCAATAGACATGCGGAAGGAGCACTCATCTTCTTCGGGCGGTAGAGTAATAGCAGTGGGTTGTCCAGCCACTTTAAGTAATGGGACGGTGGAAAATTCAGCCACTTTAAAATATAGACGGATCAGTGGGAACCGGCCACTTGTCTAAAAATCTGGAAGTTAGGGAAGAAGGTAGACGTCCAGCTTGAGCCAACCAGTCCGAAAGTTGGAGACGGAATTAATCGGATCATGAATTACGATTACTGTTTAAAAGGGGAAAACTATAGATCTTCGTTAGAACGAACGCGGAGTGGTTTACTTTGTGGAATATTTCGTGTAAACTAAGTGTTTTTCAGAGGAATACTGACACCACGCCGTACTACATGAGTATCATGTTCATAGATGATGTGAGTTACTTTGTGATCTTCATTGATGACTTTTCAAGAAGAGTGTGGTTGTACACATTGAAGACCAAGGAATAGTATCTTGAAAAGTTCAAGGAGTTCAAGTCACTTGCGGAGACACGATCGAAGCACAAAAGCAAGTTGTTTTGATCAAACAATGGTGGGAAGTTCATTTCCAATGCCTTCCATTGCTAGTTGAAGAAACATCATCCAACAACAAACATCAACATCATACATGCCACAACAAAATGGAGGTACGGAGCAAGTCAATCTCATCATTGTGGAGATGGCAAGGAGCATGTTTCATGCTCAACAATTCAAGCTTTCATTTTGGGCGGAAGGGGTGGTCAGTGCGGTGTATATTATCAATCGATGCCTCATTCGTGCTCTTATAAGCATCACTCTAGAAGAGTCTTGGAGTGGCCAAAAGCCATGCATTACACACATGCGTGTATTTGGATGCATTGCTTATGTCAAGGTGGGTGATGCAAAGAGGTTTAAGTTTCATGCAAAGAGTATCAAGTGTTTGTTTTTTTGTTATTGTGAGGGGACCCAGGCAACTCGCCTTATGTGCATTGAAACTAGAAAGATCATCAAAAATCGTGATGTTGTGTTTGATGAGGAGAGCACTAGTGTTGATGATGTTTGAAGATGAGTCCAAGTGGGAGAAGTGAGTCACCGTTGTTAGTGTTGGTCGACGAATCTTTCAAACCAACTTCTCCTAGTGATCATGAGGATGCCAAGAAGAAGGATGAAGAAGAAGAGGAGGAGACAAGTGAGTCGCATTCACCAACATCATCATCAAGAGAAGGTGAAGGAGAGGTAGGCACTCGCTATCCAAGACGAGTACGGCATACACTTATAGATTGGTGGTTGAATCACATCTTGTCGCAACAAGAAGTGAAACAAGCCAATGTGGTCAATCTTGAAGATCCATTTAGTTTGTGTGAGGCTTTGCAATCCAAGTATGCAAGCAAATGGGAGGCGGCCATGCAAGAAGAGTATAACTTCCTCATGGCCAATGGAACGTGGGAGTTGGTTTTTCTTCTAAAAGGGTCGCAAGACCGTTAGATACAAGTGGATGTTTTGTACTAAGAAAGATGAGACAAGAGAAGTTGTGTGCCACAAGGCAACATTGATTGCCAAAGATTTTTCACAAGTTGTGGGATTAGACTTTCATGAAACCTTTGCTCCTTTGATCAAGTTCAATATCATTTGATGCATCCTTACACTTTGAGCAACATTGGGATTTGGATTTCCATCAAATGGATGTCAAAACGGCTTTTTTGAACGGAGATTTGGAGTAATACATCTACATGAATCAACATCTAGGTTTTGAAGAGAAGGGTATGGAGCATCTAGTGTGCAAACTCAAGAAGTCCTTGTACAGACTTAAGCAATCACCAAGAACATGGTACCAATGCATTGACACGTTCTTCATTAAGTAGGGCTTTACAATGAGTGAAGCATATCATTTTTTTACATCATGCAAATGTTGGAATTCTTGTTGATGATGCTTGTGTATGTAAATGATTTAATCATCTTGGCTAGCCTTTTTGCTAAGTTAGGATGGCTCAAGTCAAAGCTCAAGGGAAAGTTTTAAATGAGTGATCTTGGAGAGTTGAAGTATTACCCTTGAGAGCAACCGCAATACACGCATCATCACCATGTGTTAAAGAAAGTACATCAAGGATGTGCTCAAGCGCTTCAACATGAAGGATTGCAAGTCCATTGGCACTTAACTTGATGTGAATGTGAAGTTGATGAAGCTTTCGTTGGAAGAGTTTGAGATCATTGAAGATGAGATGGAGGAAATTTCATACAAGGCGGATGTTGGATCATTGATTTATGTTATGGTTGTCATACATGCGGATCTTGCATTTGCAGTGAGCATGGTGACTCAATTCATGTCTAGAGCTGGTCAATCACATTCAGATGTAGTCAAGCGCATCATGTGGTTCTTGCAAGGTACCTTGGATTACAAGTTGTGCATTGATGGCATCAACATCAAGTTGAGAGTCTATTGCGAAGCGGATTGAACGAGAAATGCAAACGAGCATTGATCAACAACAGGATATATGTTATTCCTTGGAGATGGTGGCATTTTGTGAAATTGCAAGAGTCAACCAACAATTGCTTTGTCTACAACGGAGGCAGAGTACATGGCCATCAGCCAAAGCACCAAGGAAGTCATTTAGCTTTGCAAGCTCTTAGTAAATGTGGGATGTGTCCAAGTTGATGCAACAACTAAAGATGCATTGCATTAGCACAGAATCTCACTCATCATTCACGCTCGAAGCACATTGATGTTCAACATCACTTCATTCATGAGAAATTGGAGAGAGGTGAGATAAGCTTGAGGTATTGCCCAACGAAAGACATGGTGGCAGATGTGTTGACAAAGACACTTGCAAAAAAGAGACATAATCAATTAGCAAAGACCATAGAATTGTGAAAGCTAATTACTCGCAAAGTGAGAGGGTTGGAGTTTAGGTAGCTGGTACTTGATGTTGGAGTTCATTTAGCTTGTAGTTAAAACATTGTAAATAGTGTTTGCAATGAGGTAAAATTAAAAGAATGAGTTAAAAGGTGAAAAAAGATACAGAGTTGAATTATCACATGATGCACATGTGTCATGAATAGGTGAAAAGATACAGACCAACTCACTTGCATTAAACCCATAAATAAAGGTCTTGTAAGTAAAGAACCAAGTATTTTAAATAAAAGATTTCGAAAGAAACTAACATCTCATTTCATTCGTTGTGTGTAATGCTTTGTGTGCTGCACTTAATATAACAATACTCTTTGTACTCTTTCAATTTCAATATCTCAAAGTTTCAATAAGTCAAGAGTCATTTTGAGGGTTTTATATGTTGATTGCATCATGTGTTGAATCCTCAGTATCCAACGTGAATCGCTTAGGATTTCCTCCTCAAGTTACTGTGTTATAGGTGCTTCGGGTTCCAAACAAAGGAAAACCAAAGCACCATACCAGTTCTTCTTGTACACATCAATGGGATCTTTGTTGTGCGCCACATTAGTACTGGTGAGTCTCCATGTAACAATAAAATAAGCCGGCAAGGATCCTCTATGTAGGCGTTCATTTCATGCATCGCGATATAGCTTAGGGCTTTGTGAAGAATAGACAACTCTTACATCCATAATCGGAATTAGTACATATTACAAAGTAATCGAATAAGTATATCACTTAATAATGTTAGAAGGTTAGGAGCAGCCGCTCAAGGTGAAAATATCAATTATATGAAGAGCGGGTTTCAAAATCTCCATCTTTTGTGGTCATCATACGCTTATAGTGAGGTACTGGTTTTTGCGTTACATATCACGTAGCGTAAACCACAAAGCTGTCCTCTGCAATCAGAAAAAGTATGACTGGAAGGCTGTAACTCGTTGGATCTTCTTGCATAGACTCGGTTTCGAAGTGCATGAAGTCATTTCCGCACTTCGAAATTACTGACAGAAGTTTCCCTGAACAAACAGTTTGAACTATCTTCAATCTTTTTGCTAGTGTTATACATATGACTGTAATTCAATTTTTTAGCAGTATAATCTTCATGTAATTCTTGTTTCCATTCCTTAAGAATTCGAACTTGCAAAAGAACTAACTAAAAACAAAAAACTAGAAAAAATCCTCCTTCCGCTGTTTCTCGTCTCTTTCCTGATCGCACTACCTCTTCTTTATAGCAAGCTAAATCTGCACTTCCAGTGCACCGGTTTTGGTTGTGATTCCCCAACTCGCCAGTGAGCTTTTATTCTCTACGCTAGCTCCAGCATGAGATACGTCTTGAGATGTTAGGGACTGCTTTCAATAAGATAGCAGCTGAAGCAGATTAGTCATAAAGACTCTGCATTATATTCTTTACAACTACCACAATATAGAATGCTTTATGATATGCGAAATATCTTAAGGAACTCATCTGCTTCTGCTGCTGCTCTCTTTGAAGCAAGACCATAATTTAGGACTAAATTGGCCGTCAATAAACCAAGAAGGCAAGCAGCAAAGATTACGGGTTGAGACTATGAGGTCAATACACCCACTTCACGTGTAGAATATCCGATTTGTAACTGACTTATATAGATGGATTTACACTTGCTTGCTCTCTACTGAAGTGAAAAGTTTTCGGAAAATTCTAACACAAAAATGCCCAATTTCAAACCTGTAGTAAGGCTAAAAGACTATACAAGTAAAAAGAAGCTAACGAATCGTATATAGAAAAGCCGAATTGAGCACAGTTTGACTGATGATGGAATAGAGATTGTTTAAAAGAACCAAACAAACTTCCCAAAACGTGAGAAGCCCAAACCTTCCGACAACAGCAGTACATAATACCACGTTACACATTACCTTTACAAATACAACTCCGGGCACTTAACGGCCCAAAACAGCTGTAATATCGACTGCCCTCAATCTCACTCGGACCCACTGAAGGCTTCAAACCGAGGTTACATATGTACATACAAGTGTCAGTGGGAGACAAAACCTATGTCAACTTGTCAAAAAAGACCTTCAAACCATTCCAAGAGTAGTGGTACATATCCCACTTAATCAAAACTCTTGAACATTTAACATCATTACCCTCTACTAATATCGTCCGGTTGGACAATGTCTTGCCCTTGGAGGTGATATTTAGTGCATGTTTAGCACAGGGTACCGAGATTGGGCGAGTTCAGCCACAACGCATCGTCGAAATCACAAGTGGATTGGTCTTCAGCATCCTCTGACAGGTCATTAGGATCCAGGAAAATAGGGCCCCATGCAGGTGTACCGTCCTCGTAGGAATTGTGAGTGAGGCGAGTTGCCTTAGATCCATCAATTTTGGCGATGTAAATCTCCCCATAAGGCTGGTACTGATTTGGCAAAGAGACAGGCTCTGCAGATATGGCGGCAAAATCGCTGGTGAAAACAAGACTTTTACCATCAGGGCTAAAAATTGGATGGTTTGCACGGCCTCCATCGCTCAAGATTTTGTGTAGACCCGTTCCATCAGGGTGAATCAGATATACGCTGAAATGTCCTGCGGCAGGACTTTCTCTGTTCGAAGCGAAGGCGATCCATTCACCAGTCGGTGACCAGTTAGCCATCGTATCAGTCCATGGCCCGCTCGTCAGCTGCCTCAATCCCCCTTCCTCTCCATCCACCGCATCCATGATGTACAGATTCTTGTGACCAGTTCTACCTGATCTGAAAACTACGTATTTGCCATCAGGAGATGCTGATGGGAAGGCGTTGTTGCCCGATCCATCCTTTGTCAGCTGCTTGTAATACGGCTCTCCTTCTCCATCTGCATTGAATATTGAGAGAATGTGAACCTCGGCCAGCTCCGGAGAAAAACCCGCTCCAGCTGATATATAGACTACTCCTTTCCTCTTACGGTCCCAGCAGGTGGCGAAAGCTGTGCCATTGTAAACCCGCCGTCTTGATTTTCCGTTCAGGTTAGTCACATACACTCCATCATGTAAGTACGCTATTAAAGAGCCATCAGGGGAGAAAGAGGGGAACATTCCATCCACTCTGAACAGGGACACTCGAGGGACGATTGATTGAAGGGGCTCAAGTAGGGGAACTGCGAAAGGGGTAGTTGAAGCTCCGAGAACTCCCTTGCAACGATGATAGAGAACATGTTTCGACGAAGAAGAGACAGACGGATTATAGTGGTGTGCATTGGGAGCCAGTCTCTCGGTGAGTCTGATGAAAACTTTGGAGCTCAGGTCGTAGATTTCGATGTGTCGGTATGCAGATTCTGGTCTCCGAGTGGCCACAGCAATCCAGTCGCCTGCTTTGGAAGCAGATGGTGTCATGGCATGAACACCAGGAGGGGTCACCCTTTCTTCTTGAATTTCGCCCTCAGTGAATCCATTCATTGTGAAGTCCTCAGGGAGAGTGAGTTTAAAAATGCTCCACCACCCGTCATCAGCTTGCCTATGGAAAAAAATGGTGGACTCATCCTTCCAGGTCGGCCAGCCGCCATTCTTCGTCACTAGACGCCTGTTGGACCCATCCTTCGCGCTGAACAAGTACAGATCCGTATCCAGCGCACGGACCTCACCCTGCCATCCTTTTCCCTGGAAAGATGCAGCTACAACCCATTCTCCAGAAGGTGAAATTGCCGGACTGAAGTCGGTCATTCCGTCTGGGGTGAGGCGAATGTCAAACCTGGAGTCCAGACTGGTGGAGTAAACTCCACTCCAGCTCTGTCGCCTTTCTTCTCGAGCTTGCTCCGTGGAGACATAGACAACCCTGGTGCCTCCCAGTTGAGGTCTGTCATGAAGATGCGGACCTGAGGAGCCGAGCTTTGATAAGTTGAGCTGAAGCACCTTTTTGCTCGTTTCAATTTCACTTAAATACCTGAAGTTCTTCCTCTCTTCCCTCTTGGAACCGAGAGACGATCCCTCAAACTCGCTCAACAGTTCAAGCTCCGGCCCAGCCTCAAGATCAGGGCTGGCCCCTCGCCTGTTCTTGCCCTGATCCAAGAACAGACTGATATACACTCGAGCGCTCCCATCTCTCTCCGACACGTAAAGCAACAATTCTCCCGTATCACCAGCTGCGCATGTGTATGGACAGAACCACAAAACCCTCAGCATCTGTCGAATCGAAAGCTGTACACAATCACGTCTCGCTAAGCCTACTTCCGTCAGCTAGGTCGATTTTCGATAGTGCGAATGGTATGTCTAGTGACAGTGAAGAAGAGGTGTCGTGTCGTATAGAAAGCAGCGAGCTAAAAATTATACATTGAAAGAAACTGTCACCGGCATTTATGTGATGCCCCTGTCGCCGCAACGAGGGCGTTTTTACTCGAAACAGGCATCTCAGACTTCACGAATTTGGGTCTAACCACAACCCCAACGAAAAAACGCAGAACAGAGATGGACGTTATGAATCGTACCGAGGTCCACATCGGAGACGTGACCGCTGCTCTTCAACCACTGCAGGAGGTTTTGCTTTTCTTTGCCCTCCACGAGCTGGGCATTGTAATTTACAGAAACCCCATCGGTGAGTCGTTTCTCTACCAACCCATCGGCCAGCATCCGATCGACGAGCTTTCCACTCTCGGGAATCTGGGCCAACGACACACCGAAGATATCGAAGCCGTAACGCGATCTCCCCACGGATGCAAACGCAATCGTTCCTTCGAGCTTCCTGTCCCCATCGTCCTCCCCGGCAAACCCTCCTCCTACGACCACTCCGGCAACACTCCACACCAAAAACAGCAGGCAGACAACTCCGCTCCCGAATTTCCGCATTTCTGAAAGCTCCCAGCTCGCTCTCATCCTCTTCCTCCTTCCCGACCCAAAATCGGACCTGCTATCTACTAACCGAAGCTTCCCCCTGTATGGCAACTCCCGCTCTTCTTCCGAGCGTGATCGCATCCTCGAACGCAAGTAACAGATCGAGTTGCTTCAAGTACTGCTTCTGTAGCAACCTTTTCAACTCCACCTGATGCCCACACAGCGATCTGCTTCGACCGGTAATCAGATTCCTCGTCACCTCCATACAGCCACGCACCCACGGACCCACTCGAATCAGCTCTCGCCTGCGGAAATTTTCGACTGCACTTGAATGTCAGCCGGGCGTACAGTGTGCAGTGTGCGGTACCGGCAGTGCACATTCACTGCACTCCTCGATCACTGCACTTTCTCGTAGATGCCAGATGCTCGTCTACTGGGGACAGCATAAACCTCGAGTCTACTCCTACTTGTAGCTATCTATCCACTATCCACTGATCGATCGACTGACCGACTGCCATGGAAGATATTTCGGACAGCATAGAAGGATTCAGGGGGGACCATGCACAGTTCCACCTGTCGCCCTAGCCACATCGCTTGGCCCTGTGAAATCAATATAGACGCTGGGTGCCATGTCCCTTACGTTTTGTAACTCACATTCTCCTCTACGGACTCTTGTATCAAATCCACGGCGAGTTTATTTTGCTACTGCCTACATTATTCGGCCATTTTTTCCACAACCAAGTATCGAAACTCCTTTGCGCAACTCAATCATAATTTGGAGCTTTTCAGGGACATATTGCCACGAAGCTAAATGGTTAGCTTCAAACACGCACATGCACAGAGGAGAGAAGGTAGCGACGGGGAGAGATTGAGAGAAACATGAAGAAACAATCATTCATGTGACATGAATGATTGTCTAATCTTTTGATTAGACATGAATCATGTCTAATCAAAAGGTATGGTATTGTACCGCATTACTTCACGATGAAGTAGTGAGGTAAGTGGAAAAGAGTGACAGCTCGCATGAAAGGTCACATCTTGTGGCAATTGTGGGAATCTTGATCCTACTTAAAGCCTTCCTTAGTCAAGATTTGTTGTGGGGATGTCTTTGGGAAGTGATTTGATTTGTTCTACTTGTGTTGTGATGGTTAATGAGAGAGTAGAACCAGGCGTTTATGGAAGTCAATCTTTTGTTTTGATGAATAACATACCCATATCTCATAATAAGTGGCTCAAATGCAAGCGTACAGCCTCGCATGACTTTGTTATTGCTAACTCGACGGGAAACATTGTGTTCGCATCCTTGCATGAGCAGTTGACTATTAACTTGGAAAGTATATGAGCTATAGCAATGGAGCAACCATCCATAAACTCATACTAGGTTGAAGAAGATAGAAGTTTATATACGCTTCTCACTCTCGCTACTAAGCTTTTCAAGGTTCTTCACTACTGCCTCTACATATTAGCATGTATGAAGAAGATGTGAATATTCATTTTGCACTTAGTAGAGATTTTAACAACTCAAGAATTGGGTAGGCTGCGGCTCAACTGAAAATTGAAGCTAACAATTAAACCTCTTGCTAGATTAAGGAATTATCATAGGGAGACTAAAAAAATGTTTGGTTACAAGCAGTTTGATAAAGATCAAGTTTGAAGAGTTGGCTTGTTTGCATGAGATATGATCAATGAGAGAAAACATCGTCAAGTTCTAGTATTCTTGTAAATTGAAATGAAAGTATTTGATTATGGAGTAGAGAAATTTGACTTGAAGGAATTTTGTTCATGTGGCCATGCATGGAAAGTGAAAAGATGAAAATTAATATGACTTTCACTTCTTTCTATGAACTTGTGTTTGAGTGAGTTGATCTATTAACACTATCAAATTTCATTTTTATTGGAAAAAATGAAAAAAAAATTGTATTATAAAACATATATTTCTTCTTATCATGCAAACTTCTTGGTGAACTTCTTTAAAATGTGAGTTTTTTAGCCTTTGACTACAAAATTCTTTACATACATAAAATATATTCTATATTTTGAGAATTTTTTATTTACATAAGCCTCAACTATATATACTAATATAATTTTAATCATAGCTTTATATGGTTAATTCTGATCTAATGTGTAAGATAGATGTTGCATCATGATGTTATATCATAATTTGGATTAAATAACTTCTTGGATATACTTTATCAATTTTATGAATCGTGAAAACATTTTTCTTTCACTTGATGGAAAAAAAATCAGAAAATTGCATTCATATGTGTCTTTTAGAGCTTTGATTGAATATACAATATCAAAACATTGAATACTAGTTTTCAAAAATGCTTCTTATATGAAATAAGATTAAGATATTGAGATTGAAAGAGTAGAGAAAAAATTGCTCTAACAAGTGTAGCACACAAAAGTAGTACACACAATGAATGCAGTGAGATGTTAGCTTCTTTGGAAGCCCTTTACTTATGGATTTAATGCAAGAAGATTGTTCTGTATCTCTTCATCCACTCATGCCACATGTACATCATGTGGTAATTCATCTCTCTCTCTCCCTTTTTTCTCATTTAACTCTCCACTTCTAATTCTACCTCATTGCAAACACTATTTACAATGCCTTAATTTCAAGCTACCTCAACTCCAGCATTAACTACAAGCTAACTAAATTCCAACACTTCCACTTTGCGAGTAGTTACCTTCTAGCAATTCCATGGCTTTTGTTAATCGATTATGTCTCTACTTTGCAAGTGTCTTTATCAACACATCCGCCATCATGTCTTCCATTGGATAAAACCTCAAGCTTATCTCGCCGCTCTCCAACTTCTCACGAATGAAGTGATGTTGAACATCAATGTGCTTCGTGCTGAGAGATGCATAGTATTCTTTGCTAATGCAATGCGTCCTTGGTCATCACACATGATGGTCGTTGCATCAACTTGGACACATCTCACATCTTCTAAGAGCTTGCGTAGCCAAATGACTTCCTTGGTGCTTTGGCTAGTGGCCATGTACTCCACATCCGTTCTAGACTAAACAATTGTTGGTTGACTCTTGCAATTCCACAAAATGGCACCATCTCAAAGAAAGAACAAATATCATGTTGTTGAACGACGCTCATTTGCAACTCTTGCTCAATCCGCATCGCAATAAACTTCCAACTTGATGTTAGTGTCATCAAATCACAACTTGTACTCCAATTTAAAACTTCAACTCTCAAAAATCACTTGTTTGAAACTCCTCCTTGAGCTTTGACTTCAGCCATACTAACTTAGCAAGAAGTCTAGTCAAGATGATCAAATCATCCACATACATAAGCATCATCAACAAGAACTCACTCGTTTGCATGATGTACAAGAAATGATTCGCTTCACAACTTGTAAAGCCTTCCTTGATGAAAAAAGAATCTATGCGTTGATACCATGACCTTGGTGATTTCTTGAGCTCGTACAAGCACTTCTCGAGTTTGCAAACTAGATATTTCATACCTTTCTCTTCAAAACCTTGAGGTTGGCTCATGTAGATGTATTCCTTCAAATTTCCATTCAAGAAAGCCGTCTTGACATTCATTTGATGAATATTCAAATCTAATGTCGCTCCAACAATAAGGATGCATCAAATGATGTTGAACTTGGCCATATGAGCAAAGTTCTCATGGAATTCCACTGCCGCAACTTGTACAAAATCTTTGATCATCAATCTTGCCGTGTGGCGCACAACTTCTCTTATATCATCCTTCTTAGTGCAAAACATCCACTTAATCCAACGATATTGCAGCCTTTTTGGAAGAAGAGCCAACTCCCACGTTTCATTAGCCATAAGGGAGTCATACTCTTCTTGCATGGTCGCCTTTCACTTGCTTGCATCCTCGGATTGCAAAGCCTCACACAAACTCAATGAATCTTCAAGATTGGCCATATTGGCTCGTTTCACTTCTTGTTGCGGCAAGATGTGGTTCAGCCACCAATCTTCAGATGGACGCCGTACTCATCTTGGATAGCGAGTGTTTTCCTCTCTTTCACCTTCTATTGATGATGGTGTTGGTGAATGCGCCTCGCTTGTTTCCTCTTCTTCTTCTTCATCCTCCATCTTCTTCTCCTTGGCATTCTTATGGTAACTAGAAGAAGTTGGTTTGGAAGATTTGGCGATCAACACTAACAAAGGTGACTCACTACTCCCACTTGAATTCATCTTCAAACCATCATCAACACTAATGCTCTCCTCATCAAACACAACATCACGGATCTTGATGATACTTCTAGTTTCAATGCACATAAGGCGATAGGCCTTGGTTTCCTCACAATAGCTAAGAAACAAACACTTGGTAACCTCTGCATGAAGCTAACTCCTATTTGCATCAACCACCTTGGCATAAGCAATGCATCCAAACACACTCATGTGTGCAATAAACAACTTTTGATAACTTCAAGCCTCTTTTGAAGTGATGCTCACAGGAGCACGAGTGGTGCACCAATTGCGCATGTACATTGCATTGGCCACCGCTTCTGCCCAAAATGAAAGCTTGAGTTGTTTAGCATGAAGCATGATCCTTGCCATCTCCACATTGATGTGATTGGCTTGCTCTGCAATTCCGTTTTGTTGTGTCATGTATGATATTGATGTTTGTCGTTGGATGCCGTGCTTTTTCAAGTAGCATTGGAAGTCCTTGGAAATGAACCTTTCACCATTGTCCGACCAAAATGTCTTGATGTTGTGCTTTGATTGTGTCTCTGCAAGTGCCTTGAACTCCTTGAACTTCTCAAGTCACTCTTCCTTGGTGTTCAAGATGAACAATCACACTCTTCTTGAAAAATCATCAATGAAGATCACAAAGTACCTTACATCATTCATGGACGTAGTTCTCATAAGACCGTATACATCCAAATGCACAATCTCCAAAGGTTTTGCCGCACATGTTCCTGCACATTTTAAAAATTCTGCCCTATGTTGCTTGCCTTGTACACATACTTCACAGAACGGCATGGACAATTCATTTTTGCCAAGGTTCATGTCGCTTATCATGCTTTGAAGTAAGCGTACACTCCTTGCATTCAAATGGTCAAGTCGTCAATGCCGAAGCTCCAATGCACCATTCTTTACTGATGATTGCGCCACCTTTACTTAATCCTACTCAAAGTTTTTGGTGAAGGTCACTTGATACAAGTTGTCTTCACAAGCTGCCTTTGCAAGCATATTGTCATTTGGTGCCTTCAATGTGCATACATTGAATTGCACCTTGAATCCACTATACACAAGCTTGCTTATCGAAAGCAAGTTTGCTTGCAACTTGAATAAATGAAGTAAATTCTTCATTGTCATCTTCTTCAAACGTCCACTTTCAAGCAGCTCAACAACAATGCAACCCATTTTCAAGGGCTTGCACAACACTATCATAGGCCAAATGCACATTGTGTGGTAAAATTATCTCATTTGTATCAAATGCCGCCATATAAGGTGTCATGTGTTTTGTAGCATCCGAATACATAATCC